TTTTTTTGAGTTCTATTTTTTTTTTTTTTTTCATTTTTTCAGGACGCATCAAAGTTTGGTGCTGTGTCTTTACAAATGTTTTAACCATTTTCATGGTGGAAGAATTTTATATTTATGCAGTTGTACAATTTTATTTTTCTTCAAGAGAGAAAGTAATGTATGAAAAACCAAAGTCACGTGTTGAAAAATAAAACTTTATTTAAAAAAAATAATGCAATGCAGTATCCATAGGATGTATTATGTGTCTACTGTGTGCACATTGTTCAAACATCTGTAATATTTGCGAGGAGTACAGTGCTCTTTCAGTCATAACATCAGACAATAAAATGAATTAAATAAATTTCTTGTCTTCATGTCTTTTTTTTATGGAGGGTGTTAGTTGTCTAGAATCTTGAAGAAATACTGTACCTGGGGGAAAAGAAAAGATTAATGAGTGCATATTGAAATCTGTGGTCATGAAACCTTGCATCATTGAACTCCCCATGAAAATGATATCCATCGTAAGGCATACTTTATGACAGCTAAACAGTTGCTGTTGATAGCACAAGCAGTCAAGCGTTGCTTTTCTGTGCTGGGATATAGGATACTTAAAATGTTACATAATGCTATATTAACAGTTTGGTTGAGATGGATAAATTAATAAGGAACCAAATATTTTCCTGGGAAAAATACTGCTCTGGGTTCCTTCACGTATCCAAAAGCCTAAGCATCTGGTCATGTGATCTCTGCTTAATGGAAGGATACAAATTCAGAATGTGTAATTATTTTCAGTAGAGATCATGTGAGCAGCTTTGGGTTGAATCTGGACCATCATTGAACCCTTCTTATGACGCTTCACATACATTTATAGAGGGTTATAATGGTAGCTTTACATTAACACTTCAATACTGACCTTTTAAAAGCATGGGCTTCATAAACATGGGCAGCCTGGCACAGAGATCCAACTTGGATTACATCAGTCCAGAGCACCTGCTGCCATTTTTTGGCAGCCAAAAGGCCATACCTCCAATGTGGAAACAAGGCTAAGCGACTCAACGATGCACAAAAACAGGAACTGGGGTGCAGAAAAATGGCAGCAGGTGCTCTGGACTGGCGAGTCAAAATGTGAAATATTTGGCTCTAGCAGGAGGCAGTTTGTTCACAGAAGGGCTGGATAGCGGTACAAATATGAGTGTCTGCAGCAAAGGTGAAGCATGGTGGAGGTTCCATGCAAGTCTGGGGCTGCATTTCTGCCAATGGATTTAGAGATTTGGTCTGGATCAATGGCGTCCTCAATGCTGAGAAGTACAAGCAGATACTTATCCATCATGCCATACCATCAGGGAGGTGGGTGATTGGCCCCAAATGTATTCTGCAGCAGGACAACAATCCCAAACATACAGCCAATGTAATTAAGAACTATCTTCAGCGTAAAGAAGGACAAGGAGTCCTGGAAGTGATGGTTTGGCCCCCACAGAGCTCTGATCTAAACATCATCCAGTCTGTCTGGGATTACATGAAGAGACAGAAGGATTTGAGGCAGCCTACATCCACAGAAGGTCTGTGGTTAGATCTCCAAGATGTTTGGAACAAGCTACCTGCTGAGTTTCTTCAAAAACTGTGTGCAAGTGTACCTAGAAGAATTGAAGAATTGATGCTGCTTTGAAGGCAAAGGGTGATCACACCAAATATTGATTTGATTTGGAATTATCTTCTGCTATCTTCTTTCATTTACTTTCCATTTTGTTCATTGATAAAAATAAACAATTAACTTATTTCTGAAAGCATTCTTACGTTACAGCATTTTTTCCACACCTGCCTACAACTTTTGCACAGTACTGTAAATATAAAATGTGTTCCTATTTAAACCCTTATCGACCATTTACTCTAATTAGCCCCAATTAACTTCTTCCTCTTCACTAATATTTCTATTTTTCTATCAATTTTTAATTTCTTGTTTCGTTTCCATTCTATATTGTTTGGTATTTTTTAGTGTCACATTTAAAGAAGTACTTTGCAAATTAAAAATTAACCCTTGCAGTGGAGCTACCCCATCTTTTACTAACGCCTCTTAGCTGTTAGGGATGTCCCCTGCATTAGATCCACTGCTCCACTGCCACAGCCCGGGTCACATGCCATCATCTAGGTCCAACTTAGTTATAGGATGCAGGCTGCCTCTTTTGGGTACAGGCAGCCCATGATAGTGGACTGGACATTCGGTCCACCCAGGCTGCTGTGTGGCCTCCTGGGGTATATAAATGTATGACAAGGCTGGGGGAGTTTAGGAAGGCAAACTTATTTAGTGGATTGAAGGCCCATACCAGAAATGCAAACATTATTCCTAGGTGGTGTACAGGTGTGAGAGCTTCACTAGTTAAAGAACACATGAAATGTGAGAGGTACTGGGGCTGCCTTTCTTGCTTCTTCTAAATATGTTAGTTGCCTGGCTATGTCTAGCTTAAAAAAACTGTTGCCTAGCCCATGCACGGTAAAGGGAATGCATCTCTGCAAAGTCCATTCCCCAACCTATTTATACTTGTCTAAACCTCTACCTGCTCTCCCTTGCAGCCACTTGCTTCTCTGCAGCTGGCACTATTGCCTGTGTAAGTGACCCAGGGGAGCATTGATGTAACTCCCCCAACCATGAGACAATGCTCAGGCTTGGGCACTGTCACAGAGGGGCAGGTCACAAGCTCCCCCAAACCCGTTAGTGCCGAGTATGCTGACGAAGGATCAAGCAGCCGTGAAAGAGCACAGGTAAGTGGAGAACATGGGGGCTGGGGGGAGGCCCTTTTCAGATACCCAGCATGAGCAAGCTGACTGTGTTTTGTTAAAACTTTTGAGTCTCATTACTGTAAATGAGCGTCAGTATTACTTATGATTGAAACCAATACATCAGCATAACAGCCAGAACTAACATCAAAAGGAGAGGGAAGCAATGGAAGTCTATATAATCCTCTTATAACAGGTGTACCTTGAAACCATTAATAATTTCATCATGAGTTCAACAAAGGACAAAATAAATACCTGCCCTCCAAATCAATACTTGGTATATTGCATTGCCACATACCTTACAATGCTATCACTTGAATTCAATCCGTTATGATGTCATACAGAAAAACAAATAATTGCAACACACTGTCCTTAATACCCACACATGCAATAGTATTATACCATGCTAGCGCTACATGAAAGCTGAAAACATTTAACATAAGGACATTTCATGTATTGGCTAACTCAGTAGACAGAAAAAAATAAAGCTTTCAATGCATATGATCAAAGAAACACAGATAACCAATAACTATTACTGCTTTAAAATGTCAGTCCACTCAAATCTCACATTTCAGGTTTTGGTAGCTGTTGAACAAGTAAATCATCCAACAGCTTTTTGGGATTTGGGAATCAGATTGGATTTTCAATATATATTATATTATGCAAGAAAGAGAGCATGCATCAATGTAAGTGGTCAGGAACTATGATGAGACCTTACTACTGCTACTTCTTAGAGACATAGGAAGTCAGAGACTCCTCCTACCACACTGCCAATATCCTAAAGAGAAACTCCATATTCAGCTAATCATACAATCTACCTTTGCATAATCATGCTAAGAATATGTGCATGTACTGTATGCTGTAGTTAAAAAGGTTTGCACCTACTAAACTGCTATAGTCTTAAATACACAAAAGAGTTCCCCCTGATATACCCCAGAACCAGAATAATAGGATTTTTCTACTTACATTAAAATCCTTTATTGAAGTTCATTGAGGAGCACAGGAATCCAGATGCTGTTGGGTCATACTGCCATCTACAGAAGGAATAGACACTGGGAAACAAACAAAATTGTGGACCAGCCCAAGATAAAGCCTCCTTCTCCCAGCATGCCTTCATTTTTGGCAAAGAAGAAACATAAACACAGAGGCATGTGGTCTGTGCCCTTCAATGGACTCCTAAGAAAAGGATTAATACGGCAAGTACAAAAGTCATATTTTCTTTCTCCATTGGAGAGGCACCTGAATTCAGATACTGTCGGGATGTCCAAAAGCAGAGCAATAACCTCCCACAGATGCAATAAAACAGAGTTGGGGGACTGCTAGTGCCCAAGGGCAATTATCTTAATCTGAGACCCAATGAGGTCGAGCGCCCAACCAGGAGAGGCACAAAACAACCAAAGGAAGGATCCAGAGGATCAACCTGATGCTCAAGGCCAGAAAAAGAAAGGATTACTACTGGGGTTGAATAACATTATACTGGAGGAATCCAGCAACCTGAATCAAGTGAACAGCTGATAAACCAAAACCCACTAAAAACAGGTGCAAGTATAACAAATTTCCGTGAAGGG